GATTTATAATTACCTTCTGTTTTAATCCTGTAGTCTCACTTTCCATTTCTTTTATACTTGGTTTTAAAATTCTGGGGAAACTGAGCTGTTCATTGAAATTCCGTTTTGGCTTATTTAAGGGTTTCTGAAGTCTGCAGAAATGTACAAAACGAGAATGTCAAATTATTTAAGAGTAAATACTTAATAATCATTTAAACAGTCCCCGATTGGAGAGGATGCAGGCTGGGCTGAGGGAATTCCGCCCCCCCCCCACCCCATGCACGAATTTTGTGCACCAGGCCACTAGTCCTATATATAAAAAGGCAGTGACCGTGGCAATTGAAATGACCATTCGACCGGTCACCATGAGGTGCTTTGAGCACCTCTCGGTCCCTTCTCCCCCCGATTGCAGTATGGTGAACAGGGAACCACAGCAAATGGAGCAGTAGGGAAAGACTGGTGAGCGGGCAGAAAGGCAACCTCTTGGTCCCTCCCCGCAGCTGCGGGCTCCGGGGAACCAAAGCCATGCTGTGATCAGAGAACCATGGGGAACTAAAGTGAATGGCAGCGGGGTGCGACTGGTGAGCTGATAGGAACGGTTGACCTCTTGGTCCCTCCCCTGTTCCTCAGGTTCAAATCGCAGCTTGGCGAATGGGGAACCACAGCAAACCCAGGTGAGTGGCAGTGGGGCAGAGAGAGGGTAGAACAGTGACCTCTTGGTCCCTCCCCCCGGGCCACAGGCTCTGGGGAACTGGAGCCATGCTATGATCAGGGAACCACGGAGAACCAAGCAGTGGCAGCGAGAACTGGCGAGCATGCAGAAGATGGCCTAGGGACCCTAACCGCGCATGATTTCGTGTGCGCTGGGCCTCTAGTGTTAATATAAAACATGAACCTATTATCAAATATCAACTAAAAACGAGATCAGTATCCAAGGTGAAGAAGAAAAGCACAATGATATGTGAATGTACGGCATAGACACAAACATATCTTTTGGTACCTACTGACAACAGTCTACAATAAGGGAAGAAAAGTACCAATATCAAAGAGACCACTCAAAATAGGAGAAGCAGGAAAGAAAAATCTTTGAAGTCTGAGTGGAAGGGAAAATGGGGAAGGAGCAAGGCTTTAGAAGAAGGGAAATCAGAAAGATAATGTGTAACAGTCTCCTCAAGTCTGCTTTAAGAAGAGATCTTTGCTAGCACAATGCTAACAAAATGAAAGGGTGCTGGGGGCTAATTCCAGCAGGTCATAAATGCAAGAAGTTCATCAAAAGATTGGTGAACCCTGAAGCTTCAGCAGTGCTGAAGATACATATTATTGCCTGCTGTCAGACTGCTGAGGGCATTTCCCCAAACCTGAAAATCTACATGTTATTACCTGCTTCTGGCCAAACAGCTGAACAGCTGAAGGCAGTTCCCCCAACCTGATACTTTACTGCTTACCTAACTTTACCTTTGATATGTGTATTTGCTTTGCTTTAGGGCAAAAATGTGTGAATAAAAACCCATAGGTCCAGAGATTCAGAAAGAACTTAGTTACTAAAGCTAAGCTTCCCTGGCTCCCCCGTGTATTCCAAATTTATATTTCATGTCTAGTCTCTTTATTTAATTTACTCACATACCTTCTCCAGATTCCTGAACCCTGCTAGGTGCAGGATAACGCCCTGGCAAAAGGGATATGAAACAGTGCAGAAAAAGAGAGTTAAGTGAGAGGAAAAGCACTGATGATGAGAATCAGAGAACAAACTTAAGAACTCAGCCAAAAAACAGAAAGGAAGCCATGTGGGAGCTTCCCAGATATGGGAAAGATGCTGTTGTGTTTTTATGATTGGTAAAAATAGGATTACCCAACTTCTTCTTTAAGGCACACGGACATTTTTGTACGTATATCTTTTATAACTAAAAAAAGAGAAACATAAGCCAAATCAAGATATTAGCCTATTTGAATGCTGAAGGAATGCACACTATGAAAAGAAGAAATGATCACCAGACAGAGAAGATGTCTTGCAGAAATAAACATTCAAGGTAGACGTGAAACTTGCAGTTGACTGCCAGGGTTCTTGTTCCAGCATCTAGAAGGGTTCAGCAATCTGGAGAAGGCTGTGTGTAACTTAAATAGTCCAGAGACAAAATATAATTTTGAAAGGCATTTGGGGGTCAGAGCAGCTTAGCTAGAAGGAACTAAGATCTCCTGGTCTCAGGACCCCATGCTTTTTATTAACACAAATTGTCCTGAGGCAAGGTGGAGATATACACTTCAAAGGGTCAGGGTTTCTTATAGAGTCCATTGTCAGATTGGGGGAATTAGCCTACGGCTGTTCAGGTGTTTGGCCAGTAGGAGGCAATAACATGTAGATTAAGATGCCCTGAGTTATCTGGCAGCAAACAATCATCCTTTTCAGGTTTGGGGAAATGCCATCAGCCATTCCCAACAGGTGACAACATATGTGACTGAGCCCTTGTTGAGTCCCCAAGTTCCATCAACCTTTTGATGAAACTCTTGCAATTACATTATGGGGAAGAGATATCTTGTCTCAAATGGGAGTTCTATTATATAGCCCCAACGGTGTTTGATTTACTCCTGTTACAAAAAATTACAAGAAAATGAGTTTAAATATTCCTCTCCTCATCATGTTCTACAACATACTCTATTTGTAATTAATATACTAAATGTAGATTCTGAGGGAAATTCCCCTATGTATAGACATTGGAACCCTGATCTAACTAAACCTAAAGTCCTCGTCAAATGGAGAGACTTGCTTACAGGAGCCTGGAAGGGACCTGATGTACTTTTAACCCGGGGGAGAGGATATGCTTGTATATTTCCACAGGACGCAGACTCACCTGTGTGGATTCCAGACCGTCTAGTCCGACCTTATGTCTCACC